TTAAATAAAATATTAAAATAAAGTAAAATTTATCATATTGAAATTTAACTTTATCTTCGAAATCTACTAATTCAAAACCTACACAACTTTCAAGAGATACATTTGAGAGTCTAATTCAAAAACTACTAAATTGAAGATTAAATTTGTCTAAGATTTGAAGTAAATATTTAAACCTAATCTTAAAGACAGTATAATTCTTTTCATATGCAATCGAGTTGACTCATGAACCTAACGAGTCGAACTATGTATAGTTCAAGTTCAGCTCATTTAGTTAACGAACTTAATTTTTCGCTCATACTCAACTCATTTGGTTCATGAACCTAGTTCAACGATTTAATTGTCGAGTCGAATTCCGAACTATCTTCGAGTTGGTTTGGTTCATTGCCAGCCCTACACGTGGAAAACACGTCACAAAGTTGTGACAGAGTTCCCACGTCGCAAATAACAAAATAAAGAGGAAAAGTTCCCTGACACAAGTATATTTTATTACCCATGTGATATTCACGTCACAAAGTTGTGACCTTGTTTTCACGTGGGAAACCACATTGAATTAATATTCTTCCCATGTGATTCCCACGTCACTAATTAGTGACATGAGATCCATTTCACTATTAAATTTAATTATAAAAAAAAATATTAACTGAAAACAATTATAAAATTAAAATAAATATTAAATATTAAATATATATTCATATTTAATACATATTCACTAATATTTAATACATATTCACTAAAATAGTCATATTTAATACATATTTATAATAAATATTTAAAGTATAATTATATTAAATATAATATAAATTCACTAAAATAATATATTATACTAATAATAACATATTTAAAGTATAATTAATACATATTCATTATTTTTAAAAATCTGTTTTTCTAAAATAACACATTTAATATATATTCATTATTTACTAAAAATAACATATTTAATACAGATTCATTATTTTTAATAAATATACTTTTTCAAAAAGTAATACATTTAAAAATAACACATTTTAAATAAAATACATATTCTTTATGTTTTTAAAAAATATATTTTAATTTTTTCTATTTACAATATTATTTACTAAAAATATTTTAAAAAATTCTATTTTTCTTAACATAATAAAAATTCTATTTTTAAAAATTAAAAATACATAACATATTTAATTTATTTCTAATATATAATAAAATTTAAATATTCTATTTTCTAATAAATATTCTGTTTTCTAATACATAAAAATTTTCTAATACATAAAAATTAAAAATACATAACAAAATTTCTGTTTTTCTAATAAATATTCTATTTTTCTTATTTGTTTATAATAACAATATATTTGTTTCTAATATAATAAATATTCTGTTTTTCTAATTAAAAATACATAATATATAATACATTTTATATTTGTTTCTAATTATTCTGTTTTTCTAATACATGCATCTTATAAATACATTTTATACACTTAATATATAATACATTTTATAAATATTCTGTTTTTCTAATTAAAAATATTCTGTTTTTCTAATAACAATATACACCTATACACAACACATTTTATTTTTTCTAATAACAATACATAATATATTTTTTTCAAAAATATATTCTAATAACAATATATTTTATTTTTTCTTTCAACAACAACAACACAATATACACTTCCATCTAATAAAAAAAATTCTAAAATTTTCTAATAAATATTCTAAAATAATATTCTCATATATCAAATATAACCAAATTTTAATGCATAAATACCTCTCAAGAGCTTCCAATGGAACTCCTAACTTAATCAATATTTAGATTTGGAAAAAAAAAATTATCAGTTCATAAAATTTTTTTTAAAATAAATGGTAACTCACAACACAACATATAAATGTCTCACCTTAAATTTGCAAAATTTTCGTTACACTTGGAGCTGGAAGAATGAAGCTCTGAAAATGAAAATATGAGGGTGAAATGAAAATGAGAATGAAGCTGGGAGAAGAAAGAAGGTGAAGAAACGAAGAAAGAAGGTGGAGTGAAACGTTGTGGGTGAGGTTTCTGATGTTGAAAATATATAATGTCAGTTGCGACGTGGGGAACACGTGGGAAGATACCCACGTGAACTCCACGTCGGACGTGTAAAGTGGGTCGGAACATTCCCCAATATAAAATTATATCTGTTGGGACGTGATTTTCCCTTGTGATTTACACGTCACAACTGAATTTGTGAAAAATTCAAACTTCCATCCATCTAAAAATACCAAAATTTCGTTAAAAATTTTAGGGTAACAAAATTTATTAATTAAATAATTTAGTGACGTGGAATCACTTGGCAACAAATTTTTTTTCCCACGTGATTACCACGTCACTAAAGATCCACTTAATCCAAGAGTAAGTGTTTTTAATTTACTCCAAAATCATAGCTTTTAAATTAGAATTAATCGAATAATTATAAGTAAAAATACTAACTTAACCATTGGATTTGATTCAATTTAAAGGTTATGATATGCAGTAAGTTAAAAAAAATTTACTATTGAAGTAAGATTAAAAAAAACTTACTCCTAGAGTAAGTTGATCATCTCTCTCTTTCTCTAAAACTTACTCCTAGAGTAAGTTGATCCTCTCTCTCTCTCTCTCTCTCTATATATATATATATATATATATATATATATATATATATATATATATATATATATATATATATATATATATATATATATATATATATATATATATATATATATATATATATATATATATATATATATATATATATATATATATATATATATATATATATATATATATATATATATATGTGTGTGTATGTTTTTTTGTTATATTTATTTAACAATAATATTTTTTAAAATTTGTAAAATATTGTTAAAAATTTAAAATGACATGATAAATAAGTATGAGTATGGATACTTAAGACCACCTCCAATAGTGGTTTTTCAAATTGGTTTGACAGCTTGACATTGAAATTGTCAACAAAAAGTTGTTTCAGATGGTGAACGTTACAAACATAAACAATGGTTCTTTATTTTTTTTATTATTAAAATAATCATTTATTGGAAAAATTGTATACCAATCCTATTTTCTCTCACTTTTATTTACTCTCTAATCTCAAATTTCTCTCTCACAATTTCATCATTTTATTCATAAATATTTAATTTTTTTCCAACAATTTCTTCTCATTATCATTTTATTTCAAATTTTCATCTTTTATGTGATGTTATTTATTTTTATTGTTTTTAATTATGTGATGTTATTTATTTTTATTGTTTTTAATTATGTGATGTTATTTATTTTTATTGTTTTTAATTATGTGACATGTATTTAAATTTAATTTTAATTATTATTTTCAATTTTATGTTTAATTTTAATTTTATGTTTAATTTGTATTTATATTAATTAAAATTTAAATATTTAAATTATAACTTTAAATAAAATAAATTTAATATAAATAATATATTTTAAGTAAATTGGTGAGATCTAATATAGATTCTTTGGAGTTGTATCATTGGAGTAAAAATTGAATGAATTGTTTTAAAAGAGTGGGTTCCACAAAGAACTTAAAAATGGATTGCATTATTGGAGATGCTCTTAAGTATCCATAGAATACAGGTACAATAGAATACAGGTACAAGTACAAATATTTGTGTCCATGCGGAAATATGCTTGAGTACAAGTTTTTTTTGAAACTGTAAATCCACGACTAATACTATAATACAATACCTAAATTCTATTTATTGTCATCCCTAACATAACAATATTACAAAGTTATCATTCATGAAAATTGATTTTTTTTTCTTTTTAATTTTCAAAAGTAAAAACAATGTTTTTTAATTTTCTTTAGTTTTCAAAACTTATAAATGAACGATAATTTTTAAAAACAATTTTGTAAAATTAAATACTGAAACAACTGTTTTTATTTTCAAATTTTAAAAACTACAATTTTTTTATAAAACTAAATCAAATAAGCATAGATATTCTAGCTACGTCATTATTATAAGTAAACACAACATATTAGAATCATATAATAACCGATGTATTAGTCTATATATATAGATCATATACGCGTTATTCAATAAATAAGTAAAAATAAATTTGTATTTATAATAATTGAAAAGAGTAATGATTAATCTTTATGAAAGAATTTGGGCGCACGCGTTTAATAAAATAAGTTACTTTCTCCAATTTAATTATTCGTTAAATGCAAGATCCCTAAACTAAATAGGAAACCACTTATTTATTTCTAAAATAAAGGTAAATTTGTTTTAGTTTGTTTAAAAATTATTCTCATAACATTATATATTTTTGTTAAAAGAATTTACAAAGAAATATTTTTAATGTACATTTATGTTACTAGAAATCAAAACTAATCTTTTAATTAAAAAATAATAAATTGGAAACAAATTTTACTATTTGAAAAAGGTTTTAATTAGTTCATAATTATAAAAGAACAATCCCATAATAATATGAACTAAAAGTACATTATCAAATAATAAAAAAGAGTAAATTTAGATTACATGCCTGATATTAAAAAAGGTTACTAGTATAGATTATAGGTTTCTCTCTAATCAAGGAAAAAAAAGTTGTCATAAGTTTTGACTCTTTCCGTCCAAATCTAACCAAGAGCCCAAGCCTTAAATAAACGAAACTAATTCATTCCCGTGGTTCACGAGTAAGTAAACTCTCAACCCTTTCATATTCTAATTCTTCTTCGCTTTCTGCAAAATAGTCTCTTCAATCACCGAAAATATCACAACAAAAATCGCCTCCAACAAACTCATATATATATATATATATCTCTTCAACAAACTTACTCTTTTCATTCCTCTCATGCAAGTTTAATCAGAATCTCGTTACATCGACAGGTAGTTCTATCTACAATGCATTATTTACCTTCTCCCTCTCTGTTCTTCTTTTTCTCTCTTCAATTTTCTGTTATATCGTTTTTTAAACTTTTCATCTGTTTTTCCTTCTTCTTCTTTCTCACAGAGATAAGATAGCACCAAATCATATGATAATGGACAGTTCTATGGCCATGCCAACGTCTTCTACAATGTATGAATCTTTCTCACCTTTTCTTCAATCAGTACCTTTCTATCAACAAATTTCAACCACCAAAGCTGATACTACTGTTCCCGTTCGTATTTCTGATTCAAGGAAACGACTCAGAGACTCCACAGACGAATCAAACGCTCCTCATCATCCGCAGAAAATCAAACTCTCAAATCAATCAAAATTTCTTGACCGAGACATTATCCTTCTTCACAATTCACAACAATCCGAAATCAATTGTTTAATTGAACAACACGTAATTCTTCTTCTTTTTTTTTTGTAACTGTTCAAAGGAAGTTACGACTTACAGAAATTTATTTATTATTATTAATATATATTTTTTAATTTTGAATAACAGGCGGAGAATTTGAGAACGGCGATAGCAAATCAAAGAATGAAGCAAACAAGAATGTTACAGTGTGTAATCTACGAGTCAATGGTGAAGAAACTGAAGCAGAAAGACGAAGAGATCGAAGACCTTAGAAAACAGCATTTAATGCTTCAAGAAAGAGTGAAAACGTTAATAATGGAGAATCAGATTTGGAGAGAGATGGCGATGACAAACGAAACTACTGTAAATACGTTACGAATCGAATTAGAAAAAGTGATGCAAGTTAGCGAGATCCACAACCACCGTAACGGTTGCGATGATGCGGAGGATGCGGAATCTAGTTGTAGGAGTAACTGCCACGTGGAGGTTGAGGAAAAAGTGGCGGGAAAATGGATGTGCAAGCAATGTGGGGTAAATAGGTCAGAACTGCTTTTACTACCGTGTAGGCATATGTGTCTATGTGCAATTTGTGGGTCCACTATTCTCAATTGCCCTCTTTGTTTTTCTTCTGTTACTGCTGGTGTTCCGGTTAATTTCTTTTAGTATCATTTTTTTTTGTTAGGGTAATTGGAATTTTGAATCATGATTTTGATTTTTAGTCTTTTTTATTTGATTTGGTTCATTCATGAACTTTAATTTCCTTTATGTAAATAACTGATGGAAGGACCAGAAAATGGGAAAGTGGAAAAGATACAGTAAAAGTAATTGAAAACCAAATATTAGCATAAGTAATGTTTAAAAACTGATTAGCATAAAGTTGTTGAAATTGGATAATGGTAAAAACGGTTGGGATGAGTTTTTTATTTAAAAAAACGGTTATTGTTATTTATTGATGATTTATTCATAACTCCACCGAAAAGATCTGATATGGTATTTGTTATTGGATGCTGTTTTACTTGAATTTCGGTATGTTCAAATTTGATGAACTTTTTCTTACATTGAAGCATAATGTTCGGAAAAAGTTGAATTTGGAATTTTATCTTATTACAGGTTTTATAAACCTTCACGGTTGATTTTAGACTATTGCAATTTTAAGTTTTATAATTATCACGGTTGATTTTAGACTATTGCAATTTTAAGTTTTATAATTATCACAACATTGATCGTAATTGTTGAGGGGTAATGATATTTATCAATATTATTTTAAAAACGGATTAGCATAAAGTTGTTGAAATTGGATAATGGTAAAAACGGTTGGGATGAATCGTTTTTAAAAAAAACGGTTATTATTATTTATTGATGATTTATTCATAACTCCACCGAAAAGATCTGATATCGTATTTGTTATTGGATGCTGTTTTACTTGTTTTACTTGAACTTCCGTACGTTCAAATTTGATGGGCTTTTTCTTACATTGAAGCATAATGTTCGGAAAAAGTTGAATTTGGAATTTTATCTTATTGCAGGTTTTATAAACCTTCACGGTTGATTTTAGACTATTGCAATTTTAAGTTTTATAATTATCACAACATTGATCGTAATTGTTGAGGGATAATGATATTTATCAATATTATTTTAAAAACGGATTAGCATAAAGTTGTTGAAATTGGATAATGGTAAAAACGGTTGGGATGAGTCGTTTATTTAAAAAAACGGTTATTGTTATTTATTGATGATTTATTCATAACTCCATCGAAAAGATCTGATATCGTATTTGTTATTGGATGCTGTTTTACTTGAACTTCCGTACGTTCAAATTTGATGGGCTTTTTCTTACATTGAAGCATAATGTTCGGAAAAAGTTGAATTTGGAATTTTATCTTATTGCAGGTTTTATAAACCTTCACGGTTGATTTTAGACTATTGCAATTTTAAGTTTTATAATTATCACAACATTGATCGTAATTGTTGAGGGGTAATGATATTTATCAATATTATTTTGTTGTGGTGATTTTCGTAAGCCCTATTTTAAAATCATACTTATGCTAAATGATCTTTAAAGGAAAATTAATATTAATAATAAAGGGTAATTATATTACTGTTGTATCGGTTTGTCTAGAATAAAGAATAAGTGATATTTTTCCATTCAATCAAATATTTTCTGTTTGAATTCGGTGTTAGTCATGCGATAAGGTTTGAATTCAGTCTTATTATTAGTATTGTTTTTAAATAGTGATACAAAAAGTAGTAAATTATAGTATAAAATGGGAAACAAAGCAAAGTAGGAAGCAAGAGAGACAGATGTATCTTCCACTTTTGGAAGAGAAAGAACAGAGAATCCTTATTGTCCATTGGAATAAAGGGTGGTGGAAATGAATGAAAAGGGAACATAGCAGAAGAAGTGATAACAAAAGACATGGCTATGAAGAGGCATCCATCGAGGAAACAAGTGTGATAGTGATGAGTGATTTTTCTTTTGTTTGTTTTCATAATGAAAAGTGTTTAAACTTGAGTTGGGACAAACCTAAAATCCTCGTAAAGTGAAAGCAAACATAGGAAAAAGAAAACTCAACATAAGTTTGTGTTGATTGTTGCAGATTGGTGAGATATTGTGTTGATTGTTGCAGATTGGTGAGATATGTAAACATCATAACACGGGCTTTAATGGATAAAAAGTTTTTAATGCTCCATACTTGTAAGCAATGGCACCGTTTTGTTTCTTGTGTCGTTGTGCCCATTAAAGGGATGCTTTCTCCGCTTGTGTCTTTCTTTTTTACTAGTACTAGTCTCTGTCATTTTTGGACTTTTTTTTCATATTCCACACGGTTTTATTATCAGTGCGGACTACTTTTAAAGACAAGTAGGAGTACCGTAGTAATTATAATTGATTTTAGTTCTAAAATTATAAGTAATTGAAAAACTAAATAGGTTAAAATAAAAATAAAATATACTAATCCAAAAAAATATTATGACTCCCTTTGTCTTTTTGTTTCACTTAAATTAAGAAATTGGTTGATTATATCTCATATTGTTAAAATGATTATATGATTAGTGAGAGAATTGAGTGTTGAGTAAGGTGGAATTCGATTGCATTGTGATAGTGAGATTATCATTTATTTAACAAATAATCAGATGTATCATGTAATGACCAAACATATTGATGTGAGGTTTCAAAAGATCTCAAAGTTACTTTGCATCTGGACAAATATTACATGAAAATATTCATACTTCAAAGAATGGAGTTGATATGTTGACCAAGGCAGTCATCAATGATAAGTTCATGCACTGTTTGGACTTGTTACATGTTTATCAGTGTTGAGTAGAAGGTGTACCTCCCAGTTTCCTATTAGAAGTAATTAATATTTAGTTGTACTATTACTTAGTCCCTAAGTTTGTTAGAGGGTATTTTAGTATTTTATTTTATTCTAGTAACCCTAGTTTTTAGCTTATAAATAGGGTTGCAATCATTGTAATGTTTAGTAGTAGTGCGTAGCTGTCATTCTCTGAATAGAATATTTCTCTATTCATCATTTATTCTACCTTTGCACCAACAATTGGTATCTAGAGCTCCGGTTCTGATTCATTGGAAAACACGGGAAACACGAGTGAACGTGAGGTCTTGTGTGTTTGATTTTGATTCTTAGATTCGTGTTGAATCTTGAACAAAATCTTATCAGAATTTTAATTCTGTGGGTTGGGAAACACTGTGTGAGAAATCTGAGTGTACTGTGCAAGGTAGAAGATGAACGGAAACGACAACATGAACACCAAACTTCCAGTATTTGACGGTAAAAACTGGAATCGTTGGATGATCCAAATGCGTGTACTGTTTGGTGCTCAAGATGTTCTAGATCTTGTCACTGATGGTTATGTTCCAGTAGCAGCAAATGCAACAGATGAACAGAAAAATGCGCAGAAGGAAGTAAGGAAAAAGGATCAGAAAACATTGTTCTTCATTCATCAATGTGTGGATGTAAATGTGTTTGAGAAGATTGCAGATTCAACAACAACAAAGGCTGCGTGGAACACACTGGTGATGATGTTATGGTGGTGACGCATCAGTGAAGAAGGTGAAGCTTCAGTCCTTAAGAAAGCAATATGAGAATCTCAACATGAAGAATAATGAGAAAGTCTCTGAATACATTTCCAGAATGATTCTGATCACTAATGAGATGAAGGCGTGTGGAGAAACTCTTTCTGAAGAAGCAATCATTGAAAAAGTATTGAGATCCCTTACCCCTCAATTTGATTACATTGTGGTAGCAATAGAACATTCCAAAGATCTGAGCACCATGAGAATTAAAGAGCTGCAGAGCAGTCTAGAAGCGCAAGAGTTGCGTTTGACTGAGAGAACTTCTGAAAAGGAAGTAGAGCAGCAGGCTCTGAAAGCAACTTCTGATAGGAGGTATTAGAAGCAGTCAGAAGCCAGGAGAAGATCTGATGGTGGTTAGAAGTTGGAAAGCTCAACCTCTGATAGACAAAAGAATGCTCAGAAGGGAAAAGAGAAGTATGACAAGAAGAAGATCCAATGTTACTGTTGTAAGAAGTTTGGTCACTTTGCTAGAGATTGTTGGTCAAACAAGGAGAGAAAATCAGAAGAAGCAAATATAGTCAGAAGTTCTGATGACGAATCTGTGCTATTGATGGCTTCTGAATTTGATAATATGGATCTGATAGACTGGTGGTATATGGACACTGGTTGTTCAAATCATCTTACTGGAAACAAGAAATGGCTGGTTGACTTTGACTCTGAAAAGAGAACAAAGATCAGATGTGCTAATAACTAATATCTTAATGCAGAAGGTATGGGAAATGTCAGAGTGATTCTAAACAATGGGAAAACAACATTGATTCAGAACGTGTGGTATGTACCTGGCATCAGAAACAATCTGATGAGTGTGGGACAATTAATTGAGAAAGGTTTTTCAGTTACCATGAAGGACAATCTTTTGAAACTGTATGACTGCAATCAGAAGTTGATTATGTAGTCAGAACAGGGAAGGAATAGAATATTCAAGGTGAATGTCAGAACTGTAGACTCAGAATGTCTTAGTGCAACAAGTGCTGAGAAGGAGAGTGAGCTGTGGCACAGAAGATTTGGTCATTTGAATTTCAGAAGCTTAAAACATATGAATTCAAAGAAGTTGGTACATGGAATTCCTGCAATTAAGAAGCCTGAAAAGTCATGCAAAGTTTGCATGGAAGGAAAACAACCACGATTGCCATTTGCGTCAGAAGCTGCTCCAAGAGCAAAACATGCCTTGGGAGTTATACATTCTGATGTGTGTGGTCAATTTCCAGTAGCATCAATTGGAGGGAATAAATACTTTGTGTTGTTTGTTGATGAATTCACAAGAATGACATGGGTATCCCTTATTAAGTTTAAACATGAGGTGTTTGATGAATTCAAGAAGTTCAGAATGAAGGCTAAGAATCAGAGTGGTCAGAAGTTGAAGATTCTTAGAACTGACGGTGGAGGTGAGTATAACTCCAAAGAGTTCCAGAAGTTCTGTGAGGAGAATGGAATTGAGCATGAGGTTACTGCTCCTTATACCCCTCAACACAATGGTCTTGCTGAAAGAAGAAACCGCACTTTGCTTGATATGGTGAGAAGCATGCTAAAGGAGAAGAAGCTTCCTCAGAAGCTCTGGGGAGAAGTTGTT